TCATTTGTTTCACTCATTTGTGGTAGAAATCATGGTTTTGGCACTTAATAGTTTAGAGTACACCATCCTACATCTACCAAGGAGTGACGTGGGAAAAGTTAATGTTAGCTAGCCTGTACTCATAGTTGTGAAGAAAATAATTATTCTAAGTATTTATTTTTGATTAAATTAATAGATCAGCTGCTTGCTTGATTTATTTGTGAATATTATTTATTTAGAAATAAATAAGAACTCAAGTTTGTCAATATGTTTGTTTTACTTTACAAGGACAGGTAAAGAATGAGGCAATTTTTAGATCAGTGGCTTTGAAACAGTTCAGGAGGTGGGAATTCAATTGGATGTAGTAAGTACCTAATTATTTAGGGAAGAGGGGGGCTAAAAACAATTCTAACAATATTCATTTGTTATTTGGAGGAGACCAACTATGTTTTAACAATGGGACTTGTGTGTTTTACCTATATACACTTTAAGAATCGCTAGATACACATATTTGCAAGTAGTAGTTCAAATTCATCCAGTCACTAATACTGACAATATTTGTTTAGTGTTTCAGATGTGTTACATTCTACACCTCATTTCAGAATCATCATAACATCCATGCAAGTACAAATAAGAAAACTGAGATATGGAGAGGTGGAATAACTTGTCTTGGATTCCTCAGCTAATTTGTAGGACAACCACCCTTCAAATCACACCTCAGAGATCACACTCATATAAAACCGTGGCACACCTGGGTTCAACTTCATCACCAGCAACCCATACAAGTTTCCATTGCACTCCTTAAGTAGTGCTGGAATTTGCAGAATGGAAGTGCATGCTGAAGCTTCATAACTAGATATCTTGTACCTCACCTATTATGTTATATTACCAAAATGAGTAAAGTTTTAGGGCACTTTGATAATTTGCTTTGAAATTTATTTTAATTTATATTTCTATTAATTTATTTTTCTCTTTAGTTGCCGTTTTGTCTTCTTTGTAGGCCCTATGCTATTCTCATTGGTGCTCCCATAGAGACCCATCTCCCTTAGCATGACTGCACAGTTTATCTTTTTTACCCTGTTTACTAGCCTATGAAATCTCACTGTTCAAGGGGCCCATCTCTTCAACATCACACTAAATCTTTGCTAATGTATTTGTAGCCAGTAATGTTTCAATATTACCCTTTTCAGTGGTAGCTTTGGAGACACCAGCTTTCTGTACTCCTAAACATATGCCATGTAGATGGGTGTCCATTATGCCTGCCCTGCTTTGATTGGAATTTTCTAAGTGGTAACTTCCAGAGCTATTTCAACTTGAAACAGTATAGCCATAGATAACCCTGAACTCATATGTCACTTCCACATCAGATTTGAACTTCTTCACCTTTCTGAGCCTCATTTTACTTCTCAGTACAATGAGAGTGGTGACCTCTCACTTGTGGGATTATTGAGATTTAAGAATATGATGTATACACAGCCCAGCATAATGAATTCTTATAACTGAGATTACATAATAATTGCAAATGAACTGGAGTTTACTCGGGTTTTTCCTTTTAATATTGTACCAAAGCTTTATCAGCCACCCTAACTAGAAAGGTATCCCGAATTTATCATTAAGAAGAACCAGGATAACCATGTAGCCAGTTTATGTGCTGTGTCTTAAATCTGATCTAGCAGAAACAGAAGAAAACCAAGATTTCCTGAATATTAACTATTTCAGTGGTAGCTTTGGAGACAACAGCTTTCTGTACTCCTAAACATACTCCATGTAGGTAGGTGGGTGTCCAGTATTGTCTGCTCCACATGTGTTGTGGAGTAATGCTGGACAGGAAGAGATAAGATGCTCCTTCTTCTACCCAAGCCATTAGGAATGATGCCTTTGAAATCCTTATGAATCAGGGCAACATTCCCTTTCTATTACAATGCTTGGATTTATATCAGCCTTCTTAAAGATTTGTATTAAAGATCAGATTTGTATTAAAGATTTGTATTAAAGATTAGATTTCGGGAGGTGTTTTTTTTTATTCTGTAGGAATGGAAGAAGCAAGGGAGGGATATTTATTGGTAGAATCTAGAGGGCAATGCAGCAAGGCTTTCCACCAGCATTGAAGGAGGTGGGGAGGCTGGAAGGATCCCCACATGTAAAGGCCCATGGGCTCCTGTCATGTGTATCCTGGGAGACTCTTAAAGTTTCTCAACCTGTCCTCAGTTTATTACCCTGTGACACTGAGAGTTTTGTGCCCACTTCACTGGCTCACAAGTTCCAAAGGGGCATGAGAATATCCTCTTGAAAATGGTTTATGTACTGTGGAACTCTATAGAACAGTAAGAGATGGCTGTGATCCTGGGTCTCCATGCCCCAGATCCACAGCTTTAGGTCAAGTCCCCGAGTTTCTTCATGCTGTTCCAGGAACAGATGGGAAATCAAAGTCCTCCTGACTTCTAATTTTGACATCCTGTATGGTTTGAAAACAAAGCTTATACACTTTTGCAGATACCCCTCAGAAGGAAGGGAGGGGGGTGTTGCAGACCAGGCTGTTTAGAAAGCACAGTTGTTATTTATGTTTCCCTGTCTCTTCTGCAGTCACCCCACTGTGCTTTTAAGGAGGATCTGGGAGGAAGAACTGAACCCCTGCAGTGAGGAGTAATGAGTTTCCCTAGCTTTTTTGTGAACCAGCTCTTTGGAAAGCTAACCTTCTCCCCAGGCACTCACTACTAATTAAGAGGAGGGGTGGCCCTGTTGGTAGATAGCTACTGAAGCAGTTCTCCAATTCTTTTCATCACTCGCACATCAACTTCTCTTTTTCTTCTTAACTCTCTGTGAGTAGTCATGCTTGGGAGGAGCTGACTGTGGACTCAGATACAGGGACAAGACAGTGTAGCTACAGGACTCAGATTCCCTGCATGGCCTGGTGCAGAGTCTGCAATCTGCCTGCCTGGGTTTGAACCCCTGTCCTGCCAACTGACTGTGCATCTTTGGATATATTACTTGGGTAATATGCAAACTCAGCTTTACCACCTGTAGAACAGAGAAAGCATTACCGCCTTCAATGGATTATTTTGAGAACCAGGTGAGATTACTTATGTAAATTGCATAATGCTCAGTGTACAATTGGCTCTCAGTAACTGGCCTTTGTGGATATTTTAATCAGTCCCTTATTTAGCAAATGATTATTGCCCATCAGCTTAGTGCAGGACGAGGTGTTAGTGTGGAGGATGTTACAGAAAACATGCCAGATTTTCAGGGACCCTAAACTACCAGAGGGATAGATCTCTGTTAAAAACAAAAGACACGTATATGAGCCATGTCATTGGAGAAGACATCTTCTATGGATGAGAAAGTGTTTTTCTACCATCTTTCAGAGTGGTGCAGTTCAGAGAACTGAATGGAGAAGGAGGCAAGGAAATTTGCACAATCAAAAGTTTATCCCAGTACATGGTCAAGACACTCTTGTGACTGCAATTTCCTGCAGTTTCTCCAGTAAATTTGATAAACGCGGAAAAGAGATCTCAAGCTCCTCCAGCATACTGCTGGCTCTGTACCTGGGCCCTGTGTGATTATTTCAGTCTGAGAACTGCAGCCTTCTGGTTTTCTCTCCCACAACATCATTTTAAAGCATAGCCTTCCAAATGCCATTCCTCTTCTGAAGCCAATATATTTTTTACAGTTGGAGTTAGCTGCAATGTCTTTCACAGCTCGCAAGTCATTGGGAAGATTTGATGTTCATTCTGCTAAAATATTGCTGCCTGAAGACTCAACTGTGAAATGCAGCTGTCTTGTGTGCTGGCGCTGAGCAGCATTCCCGACACACACATAGCCATACACACATGTGTAAATGCACATGTACTCATATACATAGGGTAGACTTTTTTTTTTTTAATGAATGCTATATTTATTATGTGAGGAGATTCTACTCAATCATAGGTATCATTTTTACCTACTTTGAGGATACGGTAGTCAAAAAGAATCAAGGCCCTACACATATAGTGTGTGTCTTTTGTGTGTGAGAGAGGGACAGACAGACATAAACCAACAGAGATACGGAGTACACTTTCATTTAGAAAATTATTTGCCATATGTTTAACTTCTTAAGCCATGACCTCCCCACCAGATAGTTGAAACTCTTTAAAATGAGATATTATTTATGGGAAACAGACTTTAGAAAAGACAATCCTAGGTTCATATGCTGGTTGTGTCACTTTATAAGTTCTATGAACCTGGAAAAATTGCTATACTTATCAAAGTATACTCACACATTTGTAAAAGTGCCTCTTACCTCCTATAATTTTTCTTAGAATCAAAGGCACCCATATAAGTAAAAATGTTCTTTGTTCCAATGACTGACAAACATTGAGAAATAATAGTTCCTAGCTCTTCTCTATAGACTTTCCTTTGGTCTCTAGGATTTATATGATTAGGATAATGAAAACTTTCTTGCATATTCCTGCTTAGAAAGCCATGGAATTTCCTGATTTGGCTCTGACTTGCAACTCCTAGACCCCCTTTTATGAGACAGAGATAACTCAAGGCCCTCTTTCAAGCTGCCCCCACTTGCTAGTGTAGAAGTTCATTGCATGAGGTGATTTTTAGCAAATGCAATATTTCCCAAAGTTTTTGAAATGTTCTGGATGTTCTTATAAAGCAATGTAACGAAAATTCTTTACCCTTAGTTTTAGGCAGCCCGATTTGGAAAACAGTAGCAGTAATACATTTTTAAAAACTATTTCAAGAATCTTTGCTCTTACCCCAAATTCATATAGAAATTGAAGACCATCAAAATCTCTATAAGATTGAAGCTCTCCATGTATAAAATTTTCAAGTGTAAAATCAATGGCCTCATTGAGGTGATGACTTAAATGGAATGATACCACTTTCATCCTTCCTATAAATCAGATTTGTCAAACCGAGAGTATGGAATTCATTGCCTGTTATAAGGGGAACCTCATTGTCCGGAGCAGAAGCAGCAAACCTCCTACAGGATCATTTCTACCTACCTCGAGAAGAAAGATTCTGTGCTTATGAATATTTAAAAATCTAGAATCCTTGTTAAATTTAGTGGATTACAGAAAACATCACATGATAGCTAATACTGAGAAAATTTAATTCATATTTTCAACCATTGGGAGCATGGTGCAATGTATAGTTTCAAACTCATTGGATGTGTTATCCGTTTCATGGGAAGAACCCATAACATGTAGAGAGATAACAGATAACAAAGGGTTCTTTTGTGGGAGTGGGAGATGTGGGTACCCACCTACTTGGCCTTTTTTCATGTTGCCTGTACTTCCTGCCTTTCTTCATGACTTTATCCAAGCCACCACCACCTCAGAATGGAAGGCTGCACAGTAGACAGTAGGAAACTGCTGGTGCAGCAGAAAGAGCAATAGATACAAAAACCCACCAGGTAGTTTTAAGTTTCCAGTAAGGGAATAAAACAAATGATCTCCATGGTTGTCCTCTTCTGATATTCTATTGTTTTGTGTTAAATGATTGATTTCCAATGAACCAATAAATGCTTATCTTGTCTGTATGTAAGCAATTAAATTCTTTAGCATCTTTTTTTTTTTTTTTATCCAGGTATGTCCTCAACGAACATTGATTTACCTCTTATTATGTTCCAGTGTCTTCATTAGGTGCTAAAATAATTACTTTTAACTTCATTCATTGCTTTCACATTAGAGTGTTTTAAAGTGTGATCAGCATTATCTTTACCTATTTCATACAGATAGGCCATGTTTGAGTAAGACTGGGCATGGTGTTGGTCAAAGCCACGAGGCGTTTAGTCTAACTGAAATGGTCGTTCCCCACTATGGAGACAATAAATGAACACTAAGAAACAGTCTAGAACAGGTACACCTTGGTCAGGACTCTGTTAGTGAAACTACTGCACTGCATTCCAAGTACTTGGTCCTGTCTTCCTTCCTTTATGAGTTCTCTAAAGTCAGGCCATGTCTTATTGCTCTCTGGGTGCTCATTGCCTAGCATGATGCCAGGCAGAGAGGAGGCGCTTCGTTCATGTTTGATGAACACGTGAGGGTTCCATGGTGATAGTGGGAGAAAACCTCACAGATCGAGTTTCCAATTCAAAAGTTCCTTGTGATTGCCAGATGTGTTGTCTTATTTGAAATGCATTCTGTTGAGATAATGGTCCACGAGGGGCTGAAGAAGAAAGACTATGCCAATTCTTGAGGCAGATCTTATTAAGCAGTGTCTTGTTTCCTCGGGAAAGAAGTGGCTCCCTTTCCTGAGCTCTGAGTCAGGCTGTCAAAAGGTATTTCCCCACCAAAGTATCTTCTTATCCCAAAGTCAGAAAGCATTTTCTGCAAAGGACCAGATAATAAACATTTTAGGTTTTACGGGCCATATGGTCTTTGTTGCATTTACTCAATTCCCTTTTCATTAGCGTGAAAGCGGCCGTAGATACTGTGGAAATGAATAAGCATGGCTATGTGCCAATAAAACTTTATTTTCAACATTAGATGACAGGCTGGGTTTGGCCCATGGGTTGTAGTTTGCTGTTTCCTGGCCTAGTTTATAATTCAGAAGTCTCACAAAGTACTTTTAAATCTCGACTTGGTGTGTCCTTATTTGCCATTGATGAGAATGGATGAAATAAATGATCACTGGATATTCCTTGGCCTTATAAGATCAGATATTTGTCTTGTTCCATGCTCCTTAGAAGTCTAAAACACTGTGATCCTCAAATCCCTGTTAGTTTACATTCTCAAGGTTATCTCTGTCCTGCGTGTTTAGATCTAGATTTGAATTTTAACCCTTTCATGATTTTCATAAATAAACAAAGGTGCTGACAACCAAACCTACCCAAAACACAAGTATAACACTCATCACTGAATATTCTTTGGGAAAGATATAAGATAGAGCTTATTGCAAAAATGCAGGTATCTTCTGATAGAACATTAAGCATTAGTATTTTAAATCCCTTTGAGCTATCCCAAGATTAGCAGCTATCCATTGACTATTTCCCCCACTAGCCCTAAACTTATATCAACTTACTTTTTCGATATTCCTGATTCAAATTTAAAGCCAAAACCTTTCCTGGAGCTCCTGCAGGGCAGTTTTGGTTGCTTTGGCTCTCGGATCTTGGCACATCCATGCCACCCTATCTCCTCCATGTTAATTTTCCAGGCACTTCACCAAGCAAAAATACTTGTTCCCTAATTAGAATATAGGGGTGATGGGTCAAGCATATTCTGTCATCTATTATTTACAGTCTTAGAGCTAGACACTGCTGTGCAGCATCCCATTTGCTGATGAAAGTCAAAGCCCAAAGCAAATAGCAGTTTCAGTTCTAAGGCTTTCCTCTTTTCTAGTGCCTCGGAAAGTGGTATTGGATTCATAACTCTCAACACACTGGGTCTAGTAGGACTTCAAGGCACTTATCCAGTGTAATCTCTATGTTTCCAGAAGGAAAAAAAAATGACCCTAGAGTTTAGTGAGAAAGAATTGACACAATTAGGATTTAAGATATTGGTCTAGAACCCTGATCTAGAAGTCTTTACCACCAAAGGGAATAATATCTATCAGGTTTTGTATCTGCAAAATCACTAAGTATCATTATTATTTACTTTTAAAGACAGTCCACCACTCATTGATTGGTACATCACTGTATGTATTATTTCTGTGAATATTTAATTCTTTCAGTGATGATTTCTGTTATAGTTCTTAAAGTGGGATATTAAAGGTAGCACAAGAAGAAGCTATAGGAGGATGGGAGCTAGGCCAATGCTTCTCTTCCTGGCATAGTGAAGGGCCTGGCTCCAGAGGGTGATGTGGATGAGGAAAGACAAGAGGTCTCATGGAAAAGTGTTTCCTTCTTTGATCTTTTCTTCTGTTTTTAAAGCTTTCCACAACTCTTGAGACACACATTTCCTACAAGAAAGCCTTGTGCTTATATAACTTTTTGTTTTTCAAAGTGCTGTCATATATTATAATACACTTTGATCCTTGAAAAAGAAAACCTTGACCACAGTGAACAATCAGGCTGAATGTCACCTCATCCGGCTCGAGGCCAGCTGGACTGTTTACCTTCTCCAGTGACACCCGGACTAGTCCTGCACATTCTTTCAAACGTCAACAAAACTCTGAGGCAAAGACACAAGTTGGCTCTCTCTATCTATTTGTGTATTCTGCCGTTTCCTTCTCATTCTCTCTCATAAATATTGGCTAATAGTTATGAAAAACAGGAATTTGCAGACTCTACCCCTCTACAAAATGTTCCTGTTTAAAAAGTGATACACCAAATGAGAAAATAGCCTTGCAACTATCCTATACAAAACATTAGTTATTCACCCAATATGTGCATTCTCTTTATCCCCAAGAATCTCTTTCCTTTAAGACAGGAAGGGATGCAGAGGAGGCTCAATTGTGTAGGGTAGTCAAAAAGAATTTCTTACAAAGAAGTTCTTTTTTGTTATTGTTGATTTGTTTTATTTTTGTTTATACCACCCTCAACCAAACTACCACTGGACCAAAAATTATTTAGGAAATCAACTATCCCTTCACAGGGGGCATCTATTTAATTTTTGCAAGCAATTGCATAGTGGGCAGCCCTAATGGCAAGGTTTCTGGATGGTTTATAACACATAACACATTTGTCTTCTCATTCTTACATCTTTTTAACAACTGGATTTCCTTCCATCTGTGTTCTGGGAGAAGCTTTATTTTGTGCTGCCCTGATAATCACATAATATTCTCTTTTTTTCCTTTTGGCCTGCTTGTATACCTGTCCTCTTTGCATTTGAAATTAAACCAGCCAAATGCTATAATTGAAAGAGAAAGAGCTCTGGCTTTAATTACTTTCAGTAATAGATACGACAATAAGCAAGGCTCACTCACAGCCATTCCATCAAGCAATGAAGCCTTCAGATCCCTGATCCCGACACCATGAAAGCTGCTACCCTGAAGCTCTCTTTGGTGGAGTGCTTTCTGTCTCCAATTACAGCTGCTCCTCCTCTGCCAGGAGTTGAGAGGAGGAGCCAGGGAGAAGAGCTTGCCTCCTTGGGGTCCTCAGTACATGGTATAGTCACAAGAATAGAGGATGCGGAACTAGGAGACTTGGATTGGCTTACTAGCTCTCTGCTGGCTAGGAGATTTGAGGCAATAGCTTTGTCATTTTAAATATTCTTACCTATAAAACAGATGACAATCCACATCTGTCCAAATGCACAGTTTTTGCAAACATTCAAGTACCATAGGATTGAACATTGCTCGGCTTCTCTATTTGGTCATTCAAGCCGCTTCCTTAGCTGAGTGGAAGTAGACATTCAATTTGGATTCCATCTCATTTTCATGCTTAATTCCATGAAACAACCAGAAGGGGAAATGTAAGGAGGAAAGAGAAAAGGAAAGAAAAATCTGTAAACTTGATAAACAGCATGAAGAGCATCCATATTTGCTTCAGTTGAACAGCCTCTACCTTAAGAAAATCCAAGGTGGTTTCTCGTGACAATTCCAGAAGAATTGGAAGCCTCTGCAGTAGTTATCAAACTGGGAATTATCAAATTACCACCCCTCTCCTTTTTTCTTTTTCTAATAAAAAGAGTCTTTGCTAGCTTAATAAAAAGGTACATCTGAGATTATAGTGATTGAGGGAATTTTCTGTAATCTAAGAATTAAACTTTAAATAAATCATTTATTCACTGACTTTTATGGGAGAAGCAAGTACTTGTGCTCCGTCTGATCCTGTAGCACCAAGGTTCTTTTGCCATCCTATGGAATCTGGTCAGAGTTAGCTTCTGATGGCAGAGGAATAGTGCTATAGCCTGACTCTACATAAAGTGTCATGCTGCTTCAAGGTAAGGAGGGGTGAGTCATGGACCGGTTGGCTATGCTGAATAAGAACATTCTAAGCATTTCAAATGAGTCACTGAGTCAGTGGAATAATGTGGGGCAAAGAGTCAGGGAATGAGACTGCTTTCCTCCATGTAGCTATTATTTAATTAATGACACTTTAAGGGATATTAACTACTAGAGCAAATTAGCCCTGAGAAGAATTTGCTTCCTGACCATGAGGAGTAAATACAGATTTATTACCGTTGTGAGGTCATTTTTCCAAGTGGTTGACTTAGGGGGCCAGCGAAGAATTAGGAAAGCCTATGTCTCTTGGTAGACACAAACTTGAAATAATAACTAACTCCTATTATGCATTTACCAGGAACTTTTTTGTTGTTTGGTTGGTTTGTTTTTTATTGATCGGTGCTTCATAAAGGTCCCAGTGAGACATTTGTAGCTAAATTTGTTAGTAGCCACTTCCAATTAAAGTATGCTTGTAATGAAGATAAATGATAATCTGAGTTAATAGGAAAGCAGTATTCACTGTTACCTTAAAAATGATTTATGCAGAACAATTTAGGAGCCTTTCTAGTGCGTAAATCAAGGTACATCCATGATTAAACCTCAAACTACCAAAGCCCCTCACTTAATTTGATATGCATGGTGAAATATCATTATAAGGAACAGGATCCTGATCCTATTTGAAAGCGATTTTTTCTTAAAGTCTCTAAGGCACTGACCTTGGGCTAAGCAGGAGGGAACCAAGGATTGGCTGCTGGAGTTTATATTTTTCATTACACTCAATGTTTGTTACAATCCCAGCCCTCAAAATGCACGGTTAGCTTTCCTCATGTGCAAACCCTTTTCTAGAGGGTGAGCTCATTTGTGGGTGTCCAGCTGACCATAATGCAATCTCAGCATCCAAAATAGTTCCTGGCACTGTTGGCACTAGTGTGTGCACAACTAATATTAGCTATATGTCTAGAAGAATAGGTGAGTATGTGGGCATGTGAAATGATTGAAAGAATGAGTGGTTTGTTCTATGTATATTAATTTATATCTGGAAGTCAACTAGAGTAGTTAAAAAAAATTACTAGTGTCTGGGTCCCATGCCAAGACATTCCAATAGTTAATTAGTCTTGAGATTGACCCAGGGGTTAACATTTATAAATCTTCCCAGGTTGTTCTCGTGTACAGGGGTTTAGACACAGCGGACATGGCCACTCTGCTGAAGTCATCCTGGAACCACTGTTTGTTTTCAGTTTCATGACAGACTGCTGTGCCACTGGGCCCTGACACTAATGGTTCTAATAAAAAAATACGAGTTCTGGTTTAACTTTTTATTCCTCTTTTGTCACCATAGGCTAAGAAGTCATTTCATCCATATTGTAACATAGTGCTGCCTACCATGAAATCTCCTTCAATTCACTTACATTATTTGAACCTCAGAATTTGGACCTGAAAAAAAGAATTTCTTTCACCTCCTTGTGAAGTTTGATTAAGATTATAGATGCAAAAAATGTCTCAAAAATTATAAATTATTAAAAATAAATCATTTTTCATAATAGAACATCATATACCTTTTGCTAATTTGTTTGTAGTTTTAAGGGCAGAGAATTTGAAAATACCTGGGAATGTTGTGGAATTTGGTTTCCTAAAGTAAGGGCCATGTCCAAACTCTGTGTTCTGCTATTTATAGTGGAAATAATGACTTAAACTCTTTGAATTTCAGGAACAGCTCAGGTATCAAAACAAAACAAAAAAACAAAACAAGAAAAAAACTGTGAGGATTGGGTGAGCACACGTGTGAGAAAAGTACTTTGTAAAACACCATATAAAAGTTTGTTTTTTGTTGTAATTATTTCTTCTGCTCATGGTGTGCTAGAGCTGGCTTGCATTAGCTCAGGGCAGTTGGTTTTGTGCATTTCTTCCTGACTTTTAATTCAGTCACTTGACATTGGCCAGGGTAGGAGTATTATACCTGGGAAATCAGCAAGTGATAAAAATCAGGGATTTTTTTTTTTCCTTTGAGATACAGTTTTCCAGCATACTACTGCTAACATCTGAAGACATCTATCCTTCTGAATCTGAAAAAATAGGTACTTGGTCCATTCTGAATCATTTGAATAACTTGAGTTGGAACCACTAACACAGCTATAATTAAGAAATAACATGCAGTGGCAAGTATCTGTTGACTAAGAAGAAATTATATATATTTAACTTATATCAAAAATAATCAGCAAGCCAAATCTGTCTTTCTCTCCATTCTACTCACTCTGACCTGTTCAGTTCACAAAAACATTTGCCAGCCATAAAACTGAGAGCACCTAGCTAGTAAGTTCATAGAAATCAACTGCCTATTTGAAAATTTAAAGTCAAAATGAGATTTACTTGCTTTTTTTTCTCTTAAGATCTCTTCCACCCTAAGAAAGTTGTTATTTTCTTGGCAGGCCATTTATTTTTGTTTGTAGCTAGCTGATTGCAATCTTCGATAACCATCACCCTGATGACAATTGGGCATCTCTGTCCCTCAGGACCAGCCCATAGATTCCTAATGTAGTGCCCTTCTCATCAACACAGTAGGGTGGCACATATGGAAAAGTCCATGAATCAAAGGCTGTACTGTGCTCTGTTCTCTTATTCTGATCTAACCAAGTGATGTATCTAATTATGTCCAAACATACCGAGTTTTATGGACTAACTATAGTCTCTGTAAGATCAGACATTTAGCCCCCGTAGTTCTGTGCCTTTTTATCCTCGAAAGCATTCACTCTTTCCTGAAAGTTGAGTTGTTGCAAGTACATCATTTGTTCCTGGGTCATATACTGTTACAAAAGGAAGTTAAAAAAAGAGAGAGGCCCTGCTCTGCATGCTAGAAATTAGCCAGGTGCACCATTATGTAAAGAACTCAAACTCCAAACCACAGTAATTAAAATAACAATGAAACAATAGCTTATGCAACACTTTGCAAATATGATATTTTCATTTGTGGTATTGTACAAAACAAGCACATCAAGCAACAATGGTAAGTGACTTGCAAAAGGGCCAAGGGAAAGTAAACGAGGACACCAGAATGGAGTCTGCCTCCTGCTATGCCAATCAAAGGTCTATTGTGCATGAGGGATGTTGTTGTCTTTGGGGGTATCTGTGTGACTTATGCCTCCCAGGATGTAATAGGTGAGCAGTATTCACATTGTGGGATCCAGGTAGGGAAAAGAGAGAGAAAAATTCAGCATGGAGAGCTAAAAACCAAGTTTTCATTTGCAAGTCTCAAAATATTTTTTTTTAAACTACACACAGAGATGATCTGATGTGAAGAACCAGAATCATGATTACCAAGCTCATGGGAGACTTATTTTTAAAATGATTGTTGTTAAAGCTATGGATAGGTGCTGTCCCCTAGTAGCTCCTGTGTTAATGCAGACACGTATGGAGGAGAAATTATTGGATTGTGACAGCTGTAACCTAATCAGCTTATCCCAGTTTGAATGTACTTGATGGTAACTGTCAAAAATAAACTTCTCCTCCTCTAAGTTGTTCTCATTGGGTATTTTGGTCACAGTGAGGAAAAGCTGATGAACATAATTGCCAATATAATATGTAAAGTAATGAATAACAAGGTGAAATACACCATTCAGGTATTTGGATAAAAATCATTTCTAAGTAAAAGATTTCTTATATCTCTATTTTTAAAAGATGTCTTCATTTCAACTTGCCCATTTTCACTCTGATTTGTGTGGACAATTATTTTTCTAGAAAAAAAAATTGTGCTGGAAAAAAAATTTGGAGGAAAATTAATTTGAAAACAAGGAACAGAGATTGCATTAGTCTCTGAGTTTCATTTTCAGTTTGTATTTTTCTTGGTATCCTGCAGATGAGCCAATGTGTTACAACCTCCCCTATGTCACCCAAGGAAGTCCTCACTAAAATCTACTTCCCTGGTGTCAAAAGTTTCAGAATAACCCTTTTCTTGTCTGAAAGCATGCATTCATGATACAAAAGCTTTTATCGTGGTGCTAGAATAATTTGCTCAGTCATTTCTGACTATAATACCTATCAATGCTTGATAGGATGGTAAGAAGTACACAGAGGAATTCAGTCTGAGGACTAGGCATATTAAAACTCCCCCCTCCAAGGCTAAATCCCACACTCTATGGCCACTCAAGCAAATATTAAGTTATGGTCACATAACTTATTTTACTTTTAGTTGACAAAAACTTTATGTATTTATAATATTCAATGTGATGGTTTGAAATATGTGTATACCATGAAATAGTTAAATTATTTTGATTTAACATTTCCATTATTATACATGCTTATCATTTCTTTGTCTAAGAACGTTTAAAATCTACTTGCTTACTAATAATTTTCAAGTATATAATATGCTGCATGTTTCAAGCATATAACATTTTGATATTATCATAGTCACTATGTTGTACTATAGAGCTTCTGAATTTATTCCTCCTAACTGAAATTTTGCTTTCTTTGAATAATTGCATGTTCCAAATATAATTCTAAATTATAGAATCTGTGCCATACATCCCCCCCAAAATTATATACTTTACATTAAAACAGTAAATTACTTATTAAAATTTGAGGGCATTACTGTAGAGTTCACAGTAGTGAAAAAATACCCCTCACTGTTTTTCACTGTTATTCTCAGAAGACAGTCTACAATCTTTTTCCCTTCAGCTCTGCCTCCTATATGTTTTATTTCATGAAATTAAGGTTAACCAAACAACTGGATAAAGTGTGGATTTCAAAGTATCAAGAAACATACAACTTCATTGTAAAAACCACTGGTCATGTGGGTTTATATGGCAGTAATGACCAGGTATAAGTGCCCACTGATTTTTTTTTATTCAGAATCCATTAATGTATTGAGCATTTAGTGTGTGGCTGGCATCTAGTTAGGCCTTAGAGATCAAAGTCTGAATAGAATAGACACGATTCTTTCCAAATGGCTCATATTGTCAAGTGAGGAAAGCCATCCACATACAAATTGTAATGATAACAAGTATTGTGAAGGAAATTATATTTTTTAAGCACTTGGAAAAGTAGAGAGAATTTAATCTGAGATACAGAGAACAAATAAGAATTAACTAGCTGAAGGGAATAGGGAAAGTGAGTGGAAGGAAGAAATCCTAGGCGAGGGGCCAGCAAGAGAGTAAGTTCTTAAGGAAACTAAAAAATAGCTGTTAAAACATAAGAGATAGGCAAGACCCAGATATTACTCACATTGGCAACCCTTGTGAAGGACTTTGGTGTTTATCCTAATCAAAAGACTTGAAGGGGCATCAAGCAGATTTGGGACCCCTGAGTTCTCTAAGATGTCCAAAAATCCCCAGAAATGAAAAGACAATTTCAGAATCTTGCCATTGATTGACCCAGTGGCCACTATATTCCATCTGTTGGTAGCTATCAAAGACAATCACAGGCATTAGTTTACCTTGTAACTAACTGTATTCTAGAAAATGTGACATGCAGTGGCATCTGAGTAGCCAAAGTAGTTCAGTACTATGGATCCTCAAAAGAGGTTCATGACTCAGAAAAAAATTACAGGCATGAATGAATAAACGCTTTCAAGTAGTCTGACATTTTATACCACCTATCTCTTCTTTTTCTCCTTTTTTTTATATTTACTATAAAAAGTTACTATTTCTAATACTTTAAATGAGCAGTAACTTACTAATTGCTTTACTTAAACATTATTAGTGGTTGTTACTAGAGTTAATGAATTTATTGAGTATCCAAAATGTTCTGTGAATTTTATTCCATAAAATGTGTGTATGTGTGACTATTATTTCTGTAATTACTTCTTAATTAAACTTCCTACCGGCCGAGGGGCAGGCAGTTATATCCTTGGATTGTGGATTCAGATTCCATTTCTTTTCAGGGCTTCCCACAATGGTCTGTTCCTTTCTATTCTGTGAACCACACACAACTGCCCCCAGTTTCTATGTTGAAATTTCATTCCTGTTTAATTCTATACCACAGGCACAATGATCATTGAGGTGCTGTCCCCTCAAAGGCCATTTTCTAAATTGTGCCATTTATAGGCACCGCTAGGACTGAAAGATAGTGATTAGGATGGTTCGTTCTCTCCCTCCCTCCCCTGCCTCTCTCTTCTTCCCACCCTTGATGTCTCTCCCTCTCTCTCTGGGAGCATGTTAGGAACTGGTAGAAGTCTGCGGAGGTGGACAAGAAGATCCACCTGGATCCACCTGGAATGCCCCTTCTCAAACACCTGAGATTAGTTCAACTAGCAAACGATTTCAATTTGGGGTTAATGTAATGAGATATAAGTAGTGACAGCTCCTGCTCTCAGTCGTCCTGGCGTGTATAGAGAGGCAGAGATACAACATCACCAGGAAATCAAAGCAGCATGCACTTGCCTCCTTTCAATAGCAGCTGATTGATCTCCTGAGCTGTGCCAGCCTCTGTTCAAGGTACTGGAGATGCAGCAATGAAGGAAGGAAGCAAACAAAAAGTCTAGATTTCCTGGATCTTGCATCTGAGACAATGAGAGGCTAAGTAAGTGTGCAATGTAAGAAGCAGTAAGTACACAAGACAAAACAGCAGAGAGAGGGTGGAGAGTGAGTTGGGGCTATGCCTGTCCTTTATAGAAGGTGACAACATTGAGTGAGGACACCAGAGAGGTGATGGAGCAGGCTGCAGAAAGGTTATTTTAGATAGAAAGGAAAAAGCAAGTGCAGACCGTCCAGTTAGGAGCATTTTTTACTGTGTGTGCAGAACAACAGGGAGCCTGAACTTAAAAGAACAATGACATGGGATGGATTCAGTGGCAAGCAGATGAAATGAATAGCACAGGTTCATTGATCCAAGGTATTCACCTACCTAAGTATTTGCAGATGGAAAGCAGGGCAAGGAGCAGAGAGAAATAAAAATCTTCCTCTGTTCTATGGAGCTCTGACTTAACCTTCTGGTCTTGTGAAAATATATTATGATTCATAATGCTGGACAGTTTTGCTTGGCTGCTACTTGCGGTGGAGAGAGTTTTGGTAAACAGAAATATCTGTACCTAAGGAGTTAAGAGATACTTTCCACTACGGATGAATCAGATATAGATGAGTCATTTTTTAGATTACAGGGGTGGACACCACTTTATTTAGTAACTGTCCTTTTGAAAATTAGCTTTAATCTTTCGGATTTGAGTCATAATCATGGAACTGTAATTACCAGGAAGGGCCTTATTTGTCATCTAATCCAACTCTCTTGTTTATAGCTGAGGAAACTGAGGCACAATGCGTAAACAAATACTGTTATAAATGTATCTGTTTACTATTTCAGTCGCTAATCCTATGAACATTCTTTTGTAAGATAAATACACTCTGTCCATTTAAATCTCCAAGAAGTACTTGTTCAGAAATATTTATGAAGTCATTACTATGTATCTGACACTGTTGTGGTATCTGGGGGCTATAGCCAGATGCTGTAAGGGATTTGATTCCTTCTCAATTGAAATTTACATTGGGCTTGTGGGGCAAGGTGGGAAAACTAGGAGTGAATAAATTGGCAAAGTGGGCTGGGTATAGCTTAGTGGCGAAGCATTTGCCTACCAGGTATGAGGCCCTGGGTTCAATTCCCAGTATTGTAAAAACTATAAAAATATGAAAAAATAAATGGCCAATTTCAGATAGAGATAAGCGATGTTGTTTTAGTTAGCTTTTCATCACTGTGACCAAAAACCCCAACAAAAACAACTTAAAGGAGGAAGAGTTTGTTTAGGCTCAGTTTCAGAGGTTCAGTCTGTGGTTGGCTGACTCCATAGGTCTGGTCCACAGAACATGGTGGCAGCAGGGCGTGGTAGAGGAAAGCAGCACAGGGCACAGCAATCCAGAGCAGAGAGAGAGCTCTAGGAACAAAATATAAACCCCAAATGCATGCTTCCGGTGATCTCTTCTTCTAGCCACATCCTACCTGCCTATAGTTACCAGCCAGTTAATCCATAGCAGTAGACTAATGAACTAATTAAGTTAAGGCTCTCATAATTCAGTCATTTCACCTCTAACCTTTTTTGCATTGTCTAACACATGAGCTTTTGGGGGACATCTCACATCTAAACCATAATAAATGTAAAAGCAATAAAAGCATAATGTTGAGTTAGAAATACCACGGTGTGGGCAGGAACTTCTTTAGCGTTAGTAGTAAGGCCACTGCTCTGAAGTGACATTGATCTGAGAATGGGGATTAGGCATGTAGAGATGGTAGTGGTAGTAGGGGCAGGGGTATAGCCAGTACCTTGGCCTAAACTTGGTGTTTTTAAAGAACAGACATAAAACCATATGGTTGGAACATAGTGACTGTGGGAGAGTGTTAAGTGGAGGTGGAAAAGGTCATGGAGCAGCTCAGATGGGTCTTCTTTAGACTGTGCCCAGAGAGTCTGTCCATTTTTACTCTTCTATTGATAAAATGTCAGATTTTAATAGGGGAATGACAGGATTGGGCTTGATTTTTTAAATTATTTGCTTCTGTGTGGAGAATAGACTGTGCTGGTACAAGAAAAGAAGTGAGTAGACCAGATATGAGGCTGTTTTACCAGGTCCAGAAAGAGAGAGTGAGACCTGGGGATCTTTGGGAGTAGAAAGGTGAGAGATTGGATTATCACCTACCAGTTTTGAGTGCTATTTGACATATAAATTAGTGGGGAAAAATTAAGAATATAATTTTTTTTTTTTTAGAACACTCTCAGAAGAGAACAGGAGACTCAGAGGTGATGAATGTCTTTTTTAAACACAATATATCACGTACTACAAATTCTAGGCTTCCATATTAGTTACTGAAAGAAGCCTGGGATGGCAATACTCTTGCTGATTACACTTAGGTATCATGCTTCTGCCTTCATATATAAAGCTGGTCTTTTACTTTTTTCTTTCTCATCTGTATGCCTTCTTCTCAACTGGTCTACACCTTTGATTATCTCAAAGGTTTGCTTTCTCAACAAGCCTGGAGACCTAGCAGAACTTAGTAGCCCCTGGCTTCATGATTCCTTGTGGCATTTTTTGTTTGTTTGTTTTTAGGTCATAATTTGGGCAAATCATGACAGCACTAATTAAAACATGGAAACTGGAGCACTTATAGATCTGCAGCTCAAGAGATCTTCAGCTAAACTTTCATACTCCCCATCCTTGATGAATGTCTTATTTTTTACGATCCATTTTCAGGAGCAGTGCTGGCTATGGGAGGAAGTAAGCAAAGATGATCCTCCATAGGTGGAGTCTATGAATATATTAGGTTTGGGTCAAAGAAAAACTAAAATTGTGGATAGAATTAGGGTTGGTAATCACTGACCTGCAAAGAAGGGAATTGTCTTGGATTATTGAGATGGGCTGAATGTAATCACAAGGATTTTGTAAATGTGAAATAGGGAAGTAAGCACAACAGAAAGATGTGAAGAGCTGGCTTTGGAGATGGAAGAAGGTGATCAAGTGCCAAGGAATGCAGATGGCCACTAGGGCTACAAAACTATTCTTAAAGTTTCTCTAAGAAAGTAACCTTTAAACTGAGGCCAGATAAATATTTTTTTTTGGGAAAAACTTATCTAGACTCCTCAGTTTTTTGAAGTCTATTATGATGGATATGATGAGTACTTCTTTCTTTTTTTAAGAGACAGAGAGAGAGAGAAAGAAAGAGAATTTTTTAATATTTATTTTTTAGTTTTTCGGTGGACACAACATCTTTATTTTATTTTTATGTGGTGCTGAGGATTGAACCAAGGGCCCCACGCATGCCAGGCAACTGCACTACTGCTTGAGCCACATCCTTAGCCCATGATGAGTACTTCTATTATGATCCCTACTGCTGCATTTGAGCATTTACTAAGTGTCTTGCCCTGTTTTAAATACCAGAATTCCCCGGCCTCCCTTATTTTACAAAATTGGAAAGTGAGGTCTAATAAACATCTTGGCTAGGATTTTGGCCAGGAAGTGTGATGCCAGCTTTCAAATGTACAGCTTATTCTTCTTCCATTATGGTCTCACTTGCCAGCACCTTGCAGGTGAAGGGACATGGAAAGAAGGCTTGAAGTAGTGTGTTTGCATGAGTTCAGTACCCTCAATTATAAATTCACATCTCTGGAGACCTCACCCTGACTCTTATCTCAGGGGTCTCCTAGTTCCATGACAGACAGAGAACCTTAGGGCATTCCTACAGAGTTAAGAAAAGTTAATTAACATTCAGTACCAAAGGTCTAGTTTAGGAGCATATTTCTTGATGAGGAGCTTACTGAGTTGCAAAAGTTAATGAGAGGCAGGAAGGTAGGCAAAAAGATCTTGGAACAGGACAGCCTGGCTTTTTTTTTTTTCTTTTTTCTTTTTTAACAACTCATAAGTTAAGACTTGTTAAGTTTCTGCAAAGCATCTTACCTCACCTACATCTGTCAGCAAAGAATGGGGGATTCTAAATTCATATGTGGCTTATCATCTCTGCTCTGTTTGTAGAATAGTTACCCAAGATGGAACTTAAAATACAGTAAAGTACACAACACATATTAAAATACAGACAATTGGTAACAATATAGAATATCAAGAATATAGGTTTCTCCAAACATAAAAACATGGGCCAGAAGCTCACCAAGGCACAAAGGAAAGGAGTTAATGAGCCACATACTGTCACCATAATGTAAGTGGCCACATCAGTGTTAGCCTTGTCCAGTGGGAAGAGCATAATATGGGAAATAATTGAGCCAAGTCCCCAAGGCATGCATGGAGAAATTGCCTGGGTTTTGGAAAACAAGTTTAGAAAGCAAAAACTTGAGACAGCATGTTTTTTGTTTGTTTGTTTTGCAAAAGGGCTTGTAAATTCAATAGAGAAAGGCACAGAAGTGGTAAATAGGAGCAAAAGAAAAATTAGAATGGACTAAAATGGAATTTGTTTAACGTCTTCAATTAATAATCTGCACACTCTTTCCCATCTCAAAGTATATATTTCTTTGTGATGCTAATTATTGTAAAAAGCATTAAAAAGAAACAGAAAGGCCAGCGTCTTACAGTGTCCCAGTTCTAGCTCCTTTTCCTCTAATTATCCTTAGTTTTGGACAATGAAAGTTTGCAATCATCATGACTCTACACAATCTTTAGTTAGCATAGGAAGTCTCAAATTCAATAACTATACTGGGTGGAGAAAACATCATGATTGCTACCCATAAGTACTTCTGGGTAACCCATGCTCTCACTGCCTTGGAAATGCAGGGAATGGAAACTTTGTTTGTTGTTCTCATTCTTCAAAGCCCAAGAGGCAAGGCTGATTGCAGACACTTTTTTTTTTTGGTTTGGTTTGGTTTTGTTTTTGTTTTTTTGTCCGAAGCATTTACTAGATATAGTAAAAGTATTTGGTTCTTTTTGTTAAGCAGTAATAGAATTAATAAGGAAGATGCCAAAAGATAAAATGTAAAACTTCATTAAGAATGAAACTTTCAGTATCATAAATTTAAGGTAGAAAACCGGGTGATAGACTGGGAGACATTCTTCACAGTATATGTAACAGACAAATGATTAATTTCCACTATATGGAAAAAATGAGTGCAAATCAGTTAAAATTTGAAAAATAGACAACAGATTTAAAAGGAAATCTAGAGAAGAAATGTAAATGGTCAATGACATGAAAAGAAAATATATTCAGCTTTAATAGTAATAGAAGTGTAAATTAAAATGAAAATAATTAAAAATAAACAATTTATAATACACATGATGCAAAAAGGATGGGGAAAACAGCTAATTCCATGATAGGTTAAATACTATAGGTTCTCTGCTGGGCAGTGACTAATTACTAAAACATTTTGAGTGTGTATACCTTTGACTGGATAATTTCATTCCTAGGCATATTTCACACAAATATTCAGATATGTATAGTGATATATGCATAAAGATATGCAGTGGATCCCATGTCTGTCATAAAGTCATATACAATACACATGTGTATGAATAAGTACAGATGAGGGGAGTCTCCAAAAACATACAGCTTATTTTAATTG